TTTTTTTTTTTTTTTTTTTTTTTTCTTATTTCTTCTTTTTGTTTTTAAATTAATTATTTATTCAATCTTTTTATCTTTTTATTTTATATTAAATCAGTTTTTATCTATATCACATTTTCAATATGATAAATCTAAATTTTATCTATTTCACACTATAATAGAATATTAAAATTTATATTGAATGAGTGGATAATAAGTCCAATATATGTATTTAAATGAATGTGTAGGAATGTGAATGTGTGTTTAGAAAAATGCTAAAGTACATAATAAATCTACATAGAGGTGTACATAACACTCACATGGAGTATGGTGCACTTTATTTTTTATTTTGGTGGGTCTCACTCAATGTGAGTATAATGTACAACCCTATGAACAATATTATGTACTTATAGCATTACTCGTGTGTTTAAATGGAGAGAAATTTAGTGGAAAGATGACGTGGATGAGAAAGAGTGCTACTTTTCGATTGAATGAATGTTATTTGTGTATTTGAATTGTGGATGCTCTTAATGCAAATATAAAACAGAAATGCAATTATATAAACATAATTCTCGATACTTCTTAATTTTTATAAATTTGAACACTTTCGTATTTATCTTGTTAAAAATTGATTATCAATAAAAACAATCGAAAATAAGATTACAATTGATTGAACCTTTTGATTTTGTCATTTTTGTTGTTCAAATTATGATATGGAATAGTGTTGGCAAAGAAGATTCAGATCAATTATTTCACAAATTCACACTATAATAGGCTTAACAACGCAGACTCCCAGCAGTATACAGAACAAAAATCATACTTATCATCAGACCATCTATAGAAAATTTATTTTCACGTCATATCAAGAAAATACACTGCATAATCTCACATCACGCCGTTCTTCTAAAACGAATGTCAAAGCATGCATCGACATTTTATCAATCGCTTCGTATCATATTCGTGTTTGACATCGAGCCTCCATTGCCATTCATATTTGAAACCCAAGACTAAACCTAACCAACATACAGAGTGAACTCATCCAGACCAAGGCCAGATCCAAAATGATGTAGGGAAGCGCATTGATGCGAATAGTTTATTATCATTACTATTATTAATATTTTAGTATTTAAATATTTAATAGTTTGGTGGACAAGTTCTTGAGATTACTTTGAGATTACGATATTATCATTACTATTATTATTATTTTAGTTTTTAAATATTAATATCATTATTATTATTATTATTATTATTTTAGTATTTAAATATGGAATAGTTTGGTGGACAAAATAGCTTTTAGAGTTCTTTAGTTGCGATCTCATTAATATCGTACTATTATTGTTATTTTAGTATTTAAATATTGAATAGCTTGGTGGACAAGATAGCTTTTAGGGTTCTTGAGTTACTTTTTCATTAATATCGTCTCACTCGTACGTTTCTCTACATCACAAAACAATACAGATAAATTTAAAAATTACGATAATAACTTACCATTTTTTTAAAAAAAAAAAACAACCTCAAGGTTTGCAGATAAATGAGGAGTGTCCTTAACTTAGACATGGCCAAAACTCGAGCCGAGTCGTGACCAGGCCCCGCACGAACCTATACTCGTGCGATGGCCCGGTTGACCGGGGCGGGTCTGGGTCGGGCCGCTTCCGTCATTTAAAAAAACAATAGAAAAAATATAAAATAAAATAACAAAGGGGTCATCAATCCGGCCCGGACCAGCCGGGTCGGGTCACGAAATGGATGACCCTGACACGACCATTCAAAAATTCAGTCCGGGCCCGGACCCGATGTCAACGGGTTTGACCGGGCCGGGTCCGTGTATGGTCGGCGGGCCGGGCGGCCCTTGGCCATGTGGCCCATGTCTACCTTAACTTAATCTCCCACTGATTCAAATTTAACATTTTTAACATGACTAAACTACCCTACAAATCACTGAAAAGAAAGCCCTCTTCATTCTTACAACTCCTCTGGACAGTACACTACTAATTGGAAAAACATCCAGTTTCATAATCATACCTCACTCAATGACACCCATCAGCAAGTTTTTTTCCCAGCAAGAAGACACAACATATATAGATATATGTAAAGCTAAAGCCATAATATATTACAAAGATGGAGAACACAACAGCTAAAGAAAAACCTCGTTTTCAAAACTCCTCGAACCCTGCGTGGTCCCCACCGCCGCCAAACGACCCCTCCGAATCGTAAGCCTCCGGGACCCGCGGCGGAGCCCCGCACCTTACGAGCGCCCAATTAATCCCCTCGAAGAACGCGTGCCTCTTGATCTCACCCGAACCCGACACTGACCCTAACCTCCCCTCCGGCTCCTTCACCAGCAGCCGTCGGATCAAATCCCTCGCCCTAAACCCCACGATCTGCGGGCCCTCTGGAAAACCGAGCTCCCGAACCACAACATTCGTCAAAGTCTCCTCGTTATCCACGCCCTTGAACGGCGTCTTCCCGTACAGAAGCTCGTACAAGAAAATCCCGAGCGTCCACCAATCGACCGCGCTCCCGTGCCCTTCCCCTTTGATAATTTCCGGAGCCAAGTACTCGTGGGTCCCGACGAACGAGTTTGATCGGGCCCCGGTTGGCTCGGCCACGAGCTGGGGAAGGGCCCGA